AGAAGGCTGTAAATATAATTAAAAATAAATATTAGGTTCTTACTAGTAGCGATGCTCCCTCCATGGAACTGACACAGATAAGTAATGAAGTACTAGACACAAAGGCCATCATTTATCATTCTCAGTCACAACAAGAATTTACTCTGGCTTGGCTCTCTCAAAGCACAAGAAATCTTAATGCTGTGCCATATCAAGGGATGCTGGACAGGCAGCTGAGCTTGAGCACAAAGCCAGCTTTTAAGCACACTGCTCCTTATTGCCTAGGACAGAGAAGGGGCCTCATGCCTGGAAATTGCACAAATAATCAAATGAGGGGTGGTTCCGCCAGCTCAGGATGCAAGAGGAAGAGGGGAGAACGCTCTGAATTGGCCGATCCACTAACAACTCTCCAGCATTCTGCCTTCAAATCCAAGTATCTCTTTCGGCCACCCACCCCATCCACCATACTTTTCCTATCTCTTCACCTACAGAATCTAGACTGAGCTCATTGTTAAGGCTAATATCTGTGTAAGCCTGCCAATGTGGCACCGCTAATTTCAACAGCTACTTTCAGCAGTAATGCGAAGGGCCGGGATTTCCTCTCCTCCAACAAGTGGCTCATGGTTACGTTCAGAGGGCCAATTTCCCGAATATGAAACACTGGAGACTAACCATGCTTTGACATGTTTATGTTTATTTCCAAAAACACTGCTTAAGCAGGTATAATTGGCTGTAGCAAGGAGCAGATATCAAGTGCTAGTCCCAGAAAGTTAATTCAGCCCTTCTCCCCATAGACCAGCCAGTTCTAAGCCCAGCAATCTATAACAAGAATAGAAAGCACAGCATAATTTGATCTTGGCTGTGTTGATTCTTCAAGCTTTAACTAAAATAGAAGGTCTCCCAGTAGGTCACAACCATTTGGTTCAAAATGGCCACATAGCAGGCATTTGCAGAATAGCATTTTCACCTGATCCTGGCAGTCAAATCTGTCTTTGGGTTTCTGTATGGACTCACTACGTCAATCTAGAATCAGAGTGTTTCTAGACTCTGAGCTTTTTCTAACTCATTCACAGAATTTTACCCTGGTCCAGATGATGTTGTTGTCCACTTGCAACCCCCTTCAGTGTTTTCTCACAGTTTCTTCCATCCTTTCTCGTTCAACAGAAAATCCAAGGAGGAGGAAAAGGTCAAAGAGTTTCATGGTCTTTTGCTTGACTTGGGATACTTCTAGACAAAGTTTTTGCCATTGCTTGCCTCATTCATGAAAAATCCATTCAGTGAGAAAAAAATGGAGTAACTGTGCAATGCTTTCTGATAACACAAGGAACCCTCCACCTGGAAGCACCCCAAGATGTATTTAACATAAACACATTGAAATCACTGGGACTTGGGTTAGTTACCCTCTTGGATCATAACTCTTTAGTGTCAAATTTGTTTGACTGCAGCTGGGAGGAAGTTGATGATGTTTTATTTATTTATTTATTTATTTATTTATGGGACTTCTATGCCGCCCCATTCGCCGAAGCCTCAGGGTGGCTCACAACCATAAATAAATAGAATTCAATAAAACAATATAAATTAACAATATAAATTAAGTCGCCCTGGCCAAAGAATAACATGAATAAATAATATTAACAATTAAAATAACATTTGAATAAAAAGGTCTTTGCCTGGCGCCGAAAAACAAATAACGACGGTGCCAGGCGGACCTCTCTGGGGAGAACATTCCATAGTTTGGGCGCCACCGCAGAGAAAGCCCTCCTCTGAGTACTTACCCTCCTAATTTCCTTCACGGAGGGTTCCCGGAGAAGGGCCTCTCCCGCTGATCTCAAGGGGGGGGGGGCGGGCATATATGGACGTAAGCGCTCCTTCAGGTAACCAGGACCCAAGCCATTAAGGGCTTTATAGGTCATCACCAACACCTTGAATTGGGCCCGGACTTCAATGGGAAGCCAGTGAAGCTGACGGAGGACTGGAGTCATGTGAACATAACGCCCAGTCCCCGTCAGCAGCCTGGCAGCTCTATTTTGAACCAATTGAAGTATCTGGACCATCTTCAAGGGCAGCCCCACGTAGAACGCGTTACAGAAGTCAAGTCAGGAAGTCACCAACGCATGTGTCACTGTCGCCAGGCAGTCCTTCTCCAGGTAGGGGCACAGCTGATGGATCAGCTGAAGCTGAAAGAAAGTGCTCCTCGCCACCGCTGTCACCTGAGCTTCCAGTGAAAGCTCTGGGTCGAGGAGCACTCCCAAGCTGTGGACCTTGTCCCTAAGAGGGAGTGCAACCCCATTCAGGACTAGGTTCAATTCACCCTCCCCGAAGCCCGATCCACCAACCAACAGGACCTCCGTCTTGTCTGGATTGAGCTTCAGTTTATTGGCCCTCATCCAGCCCATTACCTCGGCCAGGCACCGGTTCAGTACAGCCACTGCCTCACCCAGATTGGTGGAAAACGAGAGGTAGAGCTGGGTATCATCAGCGTATTGATGATTGACCTCTCCCAGCGGTTTCATGTAGATGTTAAACTGCAAAGGGGACAAAATGGACCCCTGCGGTACTCCATGGCATAGCTGCCATGGTGCAGAGCCATAGTCCCCCAGCCCCACCTTCTGGAATCGGTCATTGAGATAGGAGCGGAACCACTGCAAAACAGTGCCTCCGACCCCCAATCCCGCTAGCCTATCCAGAAAGATACCATGGTCGATGGTATCGAAAGCCGCTGAGAGGTCCAGAAGAACCAACAGGGATGCACTCCCCCTGTCCTTCTCCCTGCACAGGTCATTGTACAGGGTGACCAAGGCAGATTCAGTACTGTACCCGGGACTGAAGCCGGACTGAAATGGATCCAGGTAATCAGTTTCATCCAAGAGTGCTTGGAGTTGTCCCACCACCACCCGCTCCAACACCTTGCCCAGAAACGGGATGTTGGCTACTGGTCTATAATTAGTGGCCATCTCTGGATCCAGTGACGCTTTCTTCAGGACCGGTTGGACTACCACCTCCTTTAAAGGGGCAGGTACCTGACCCTCCCTCAGAGAAGCGTTAACCACTTCCAAGATCCAGATCCCAATCCCATGCTTGGCGTTGTTTATTAACCAAGATGGGCAAGGGTCCAATAGGCAAGTGGTGGGACGTACTCGTCCAAGTACCTTGTCCACATCATCAGGCCGCAATAACTGAAATTCATCCATTAATTTTGGACCAGACGGTGACATTGGTATCTCCCTAGAAGCCTCTGAATCACTAGTAGAGTCTAGCTCGTGACGAATCTGAGCGATTTTCTCCCTGAAATGCTTGGCAAAGTCGTCACAGCGGGCCTTCAAGGGTAGAACCAGATCTTTCTTAGGGCCAGGACGGACCAGCCCTTGTACCACCCGAAAAAGCTCCACCGGACGGCATTTTGAGGAGGCAATGGAAACGGAGAAGAATTTCTTTTTCGCTGCCCTCACCACCACAGCCTAGGCCCGATAAAGGGCTCTTAAGTGTGTTCGGTCAGATTCATCCCGTGATTTCCTCCACCTACGTTCTAGCCATCTCCCAGCCTGCCTCATCGCCCATAATTCAGATGTATACCAAGGGGAAGAGTAGGCTCTGCCTGGCGGGAGAGGATGCTTAGGAGCGATTGTGTCAACAGCCCTAGTCATCTCCCCATTCCATAGTTCGACCAGAGCCTTGGCAGGAGCACCAGTCTTGTCAGCCGGAAACTCCCCCAGGGCCTTCAGGAATCCGTCCGGATCCATCCGAATCCATCCAGCTCGGGGGTGGACCCACACAATCGGGTCCGCACCCTTACAGAGGGAGAGGCCACTCTCGAGCACAAACCTCACCAGGAAGTGATCTGACAGGGGTGTCAAACATAAATTCCTCACCCCCAGACCACCCTCTTCCTGCCCTGTCGAGAAAACCAGGTCCAGAGTGTGTCCACGATCATGGGTCAGGCCTGTGACATGTTGAGGCAGCCCCATGGCCATCATGGAGGCCATGAAGTCCTGAGCCGCCCCGGTCAGACCAGTCTCAGCATGGAGATTGAAGTCCCCCAGGACCAACATCCTGGGGGTCCTCAACACCAGGTCCGAGATGATCTCCGTCAGCTCAGGCAGGGAGACTGTTGGGCAGAAGGGTGCACGGTACACCAACAGAATCCCCAATCTGTCTCGATCGCCCAACACCAAGTACAGGCACTCCAGCCCTGGAAGTCCCGTGAGGGAGATGGAGGCTCGGTAAACCAAAGCGACCCCCCTCCCCTCCCCTCCAGGCGTGGATGGTGCTGAACCAGATACCCGGGCTGGCACATTTGAGAGAGGGCGACACCCCCCCCCGTGCCAGCCCGGGTATCTGTTATGCAAGCCAGGTCGGCCCCCTCATCCACAATCGAGTCATGGATGAGGGAAGATTTATTGTGGACCGACCTGGCATTAAGCAGCAGCACCGTCAGGCCCGAGGGGCGGTTGACAAGACTACCTGGAACCCTCTGGCTGGGGGTAGAACCAGAAGGAGGGACAGGTGTCAGCCATCTGTTCCCTCCTTCTTCTACATGGACACATTAAGCCCCCACCGCTGTAACGTCCATTGCCCGTGACCACCCCAATGGTGGCGCCCACGCGCTCCCCAGGAAACTCAACCGTCGACATGGCCAGGGATGACTCCATAAAAACAAATTAAAATACAATAAAACTTTAAAACAGTAAAAACTCCCCCTCTAGCCCCGATACAAAATTCCACCCACTGACCTAGCCCCCTGCCAACCCAGCCCCACACGGCCACAAACGGCAGTGACTGCCCTTCGCCCGCCAGCCAGAGGCCGCTGGTCCCAGGCCGCGTCCAGCGGGTTAAGCCCGCGTGTCCCGCCCCAATCCGGCGTTGCTCTCACTGATGCGGGGGGGGGGGGAGCAGAGAGGGGCATGGAAACCCACCAGGCGGCAAGATGGCGGCGCCCTCCTCTGCACTGTCGACGTCGGCCCTGGCGTGGCCCTGGCGTCCTCCGTCCCCGGGGTGGCCCAGCGGTGGCCGCGGGAGCGGCATCAGCTGGCCTCCGGCTTGGCGGCGTGCCTCAGGTCCGGCGTGGCGACAGCGGCAGCAGGAGTGGCGGCGGTGCAGCGCGGCTGGTGTTCCAGGGAGGGAGGGGGAGGGAGCTGCAATCCAGCCCTGCCCCAGGCTGTGTCCGGTGGGTTAAGCCGGCGCCCGCCCGTGCACCCCGCCCCAATCCGGCGTAGCTCTCTCATCATCTCATAGATGATGTTTTGTGATCATCTATGGACTTTTCTCCATAAAATTGTTACTACGCTGGAGATATACTTTGCAAAATTGCGGTTCAAGCACTAGTATATGAGGAGCTTTTCCTTCGTTGCTTTTCTGCTCCATAACCTCTAAGTGGCACTGTGGCATAGTGCAAATATAAGAGAGGAAATCCCACTTTCTTTCCCTAGTTAGAAATAACCAGTTTTCCCTGCCCTAGAAAAATTTGTAGAAAATGCTGTTTACACATAAGAAGCAACATGGAAGGGCTGTGACATTTTCAAAAGAATCTATAAACAACCATGGGCAGAGAATGAGAAGCACATAACAAATGCTTTGTATAGAAATCTTATCTTATCTTTATGGAGGAGTGAAAAGCTATGTCACAATGTACTTTAAATAATAAACCTCGGCAAAAAAATTTACTTGCCTTTAGCAACTGAAAATGTATGCTGTTTCAATATTGTTTTTGATACAATGGCTATTAAATAAGCATTTACTTTGCTTTTATTCCACCTTTCTTCCAAGAAACATAGGGGAGTACTGAATACCCTCCGTATGTCTTACACTCACAGCAATTTCTTGCAGTAGGTTAAGCTGAGAAATGGCAACTGGCTGAAGGTGAAGTTCACAGCTGAGTGGGGATTTGAACCCAGGTATTCTTAACACTACCCTGGCATTCCATCCATACTGATAGTAATAATGGTTAGTAATAGTCCTTCTACCATCTGGATGAAAAAATAGTCCCTATACTTTGCCACCAAAATGACCTTTCTATGGACACTCATTTATAACATATCGCCATTCATGTATCAGCCATCATCAAAAACGGAGCAAAAGAATGGGCATGTTTAGCCAAATGAAATGTGTCCCCATGTGACCATAATATAAAAGATTCTCTGCATATTATTTTCAAAAACAGGGTCCATGGCAGATCCTGGGCTACTACTAAGGAAGTAATACATTATTGCTTCATATCCATTCTATGGAGTTGTTGTAAAATGCATCTCTGTTATGAAAGATCCATTAGGTAGCCCAAAGTCATCATTTTAACTCTTTGGTGGATTAAGGGAAACACAAATATTGTGACTTTTGTACTGTTATGATGTTGGAATTCCACGTTGCTGTTTGCCATGTAAAGCCTTCCTACTATCTATATTCTTGGTAGGAAGAATCTGTCATTTGATATAGAAAATTCTGTGCTAAATGGTCATCTGAATCCTAAACTAAAAGGTGGTATTTGTCAGCTTTACTGCAGGCACTATAACCGCAAGTCCATTAGCATTTTAGACCCTTTTAGAATCGCCAGAGGGAAGGAATTCATAATTGTGGAGGGAACAGTGGAAACACCTCTTGTCATTTGAAAGTTATGAACAGAGGTGGACTTTGAACGGATCAACCACACTAACAGAAAAACGGGCAGCTGTGGGCATGTCCTTTTGAAATAAAATTGTCCCACTGTGGCAACACTGATTTCATAAACATTTCGTCTTGAGAGTAATGGCAGCATTGTCCTAGGCATTATCCTCTAATTTATGAATTCATAATAGGTACCCATATGCGTCCTAATTTTTTATAGCAACAACTCAAATATGAATGATTTAGGACCAACACAATGACAGGGGGAAATTGGCTGTCATTCTCATCTCGGATCTCGTTGCCAAGTTGTAATGAAGGGACGATTCATGAACTTTGTAATCATTTAGGGAGAGGAAGTGGGTAACTGCGACCAACAGAATTTTGACAAGCAGCAGCTTTTGTGCCTGAACTCAGAAAGGGTGGGTGTTCTTCTCAGGAGTTTCAGATCCTTCCTTTTTTGGACAATTCTTCTTTTAGGTTTAGACTGGTGTAATGTGATTATTCAACACTTTGCCCTAGCCGTGTCTGACAAAACAGCTCTTTGGGGGCCTTTTGAATTTTCCTCCAGACCACCTGATCTCTTCCAAAAGTGCCACAGCTGTTCTAGCCTTCAGGAGAGAAGAGAAAGGAAAAATCAAACAAGGGGTTTTGGGGAAATACAATAGGACTTGCACACATGCACACGGATGCTCACACACACACTTGAAAAGAACCTCCTTAAAAGTTCACATCTGAATCCAAGGGATTTATTGTATTGCATTTTATTAAGTGTTATATACTGGCTGCAGAGCTTCGGCATCTGGGTGATACCGAAGCTCTGCAGCCAGTGAGTCTGCCTCTTGCTTGTTGCAGACTGGTCAGTGCAAGTCATCTGAGGACTCTGGAGAGGAGGAGGAAAGGCGGGGGCATAGTCTTTAAGCTCCCCACACTGTGCCTCCTGAAGTTTCTTGGTCCAAGCATGAGAATCAGCCTGATTTGGAAGGGTTTTCAGGAGGGGAGGGGAGGGGAGGGGAGGGGAGGGGAGGGGGAGGGAGGGGGAGCAGGTGCAAGACCCAGTCCTTGACCCAGTGGGGCAGTGTCTGGAGAAAGGAGCTGCTCCACCGGAGGGGCTTCACCATTTGCACCATCTTGCCCTCGAGCAGTGAGAGTCACCCTGAGGGTGGTGCCAGAAGATTTCCAGAAGCAGAGGGATCAAGGGAAAGTTTCAGTTTGGATTCAACTCTGCACATGAGCAGAGGCCTCCTTTTTCAACTTGGGTAGAAGGCTTATTATTGCTCAAGCTGTTCTGTTATTGGTGGAGTCTAAATAAAAGACCTGCACTTTCAAAGGATTGTCTTGAGATTTGGAACCAGAGAGAAAAAGGGATCAGCTAATGACAGGCACAGAAATAAAACAAGGGTTTTTTTCTAAGCTCTATACATACTTAAGGATTTCCTTGCAGTGTTGGGCCTTGATGCCAATTATATATAATTTATTGTGAATGGGAGTTTTACGTACATGCAAATAACCATCGCTCCCTGAAAAAAGGTATATGTCTTATATGCAGAGGATAGAGGATATCAGGTCTTTCCCGTTTGGAAAGCAAGAAGGAAGGATCAAATAGTAGGTAATATGAAAGATCTTTTCCCGAGACCCTGCCAGTCAATGTAGATATTTTTAAAAAAATTCTCAGCAACAAAAATGGTGCAAGGCTACTTACAATATCAACCCAGATGGAATGAATCAATGCAGTTCCAGTTATGAAAAGAGGGTTAAGCTTCTCCACTTACTCAATGACTGTACTCTAGAACAGAGGTGACCACAAGGCAACCCTAGATTTAATTCTAAGTGGTGTCATATGGGACTTAATATGAGATACAAATGTTGTTGAACCAAGCAGAAACAATGGCCTCATGTGACTTGCTTCTGATTCGATTAATACTATCTACATCACTTGTCAAAACTATAAGACTATAACCCATCACATCAAAGGATCTCACTTAAGAATTATATACCTACCTTTTGCAGAAAGACCACACCACACTTGTAGGAAGTTTCATGGATAATATGAATCCAGTTATTGAGCTTAGCAATCCAGGCCTTTCTTTCATGTGCAGGACAGCTGAAGCTACAAGTAAAATCCAATAGGGTGGTAGGGAAAATAATAATAAAATGAATGATTTCTTGAAGATGTATGATTATTAACATCATGATCATCATCAGTTCTACCCTGCCCAATAGCTGAAGCTCTTGTGGGTGCTACAAATCAACTAATAAAATTCTGTTTAAATATAATAGCAGAAAAAACACAATAAAATTTGAACTTTTTTTAAACAGAATTTTAACAACTTGAACAGCTAAGATCAGTTCATGCAGTTCAGACTCTTAAAACAGCTGACAATGCTCACTCCCCAGTGCTATTTCAAGCTATTAAATGCCTCAAGGATACAGGGCAGCCTGGTGCCAAAAAGATGGTGAAATAGACACCAGAGGATTCTCTCTCTCTCTCTCTCTCTCTCTCTCTCTCTCTCTCTCTCTCTCTCTCTCTCTCTCTCACACACACACACACACTA